TATGATATACGTAGTAAGTTTTAAGTGAGAACCAGTACAAATTTATCCCATAACCATGCCAACTACAGTCTCAAAGAACCAATTACAAAGAAATATTGTATAACTAGTGTCATGTTAATGTGAATTAAAATGATAAATATTAATAGATGGTGTGAATTATTTAGAGAATTAGTTAATAACATTTTTATATAATAAATTGGTTTAGAATCACTAATTATATTATTTGAGGTACCTTTGTAAATATGAATTATTTTTTTATTTCATGAATCTAATGATGGTTAATCAATACTTTGTCACTCTTTAATTATTCTAAAGCATACAAGAAATATAAAAGGAAAATCCTTATTTGGTACTTCATCTGTCCCAGTGGACTTTGTCAACTATCTTTTTTGCTTGTCCCAAAAATTTTGTTCACTTTCATTTTAAATCAATGAATTTGTGTCTTTGTTAAAAAAAAAGGTTTAGCACTTTCGATTGCATATGAAAGATCATAAAAAGTTATGAATTTTGATATAAGTTTTGAAAAAATGGAGTACAAATAGAAAAGTTATAGCACTTTAAAAGAAGATTTTTCTACTTCACTTTCTCCTTCACCGAGTTAACTTGGATTGATTAAATATTGTAGTAGAGATGATACTAAGATTTTTATTAACCAATAAGAGGCTGACACGTTATTGATTTTTACATCAATTATATTATATTATTAATATATTTTATTTTTATATTTGCAATATTGGTGTCACATGAAAGATCATAATATAAAAAGTTATAAATTTGATGTATTTTTTTTTTGTAAAAATTAGAGTATAAATAGGTAAGTTATAACACTCTAAAGATAAATATTCTTCTCCTTCCCATTCTCCAAATGAATAGTGATTCACGTAGTGAACAACAATGGTGAATCGAGTCAACTTATATGAATTAAATGTTTTTATAGCAATGATAGTAGAAGTTTTATAGTTTTGCTATACAAAATAATAGATGATTTTTTAATTTTTATACACCCAGTATTGGTGTTTTATGAAAGATTAAAAAAATATGGATTTTGATATTTTGTAAAAAATGGATTATAAATATAAAAGTGATATCACTTTAAAAAAGAGATTTTTTCTCATTCCCTTGCTCCAAATCAGCTGTGATGCACAATTTGAGAGAGTGAATGGCAGTGATGAACCTTGAATTAATTAAGAAATTGTTTTTATAGTAGTGATAATACAATTTGCATAATCCAATAAGAAATTGATACATCATTGATTTTAACTCAGTTTTATTATATAATAATAAAACAATATACTTTTTCTCTGTTCTTTTTTAGTTGCAACATTCCTTTCTTAACGTTTGTCAACACACAACTTTGACCATTATTATACTTAATTCTGTATTTGTAAAAAATAAGTAAAAATCATATTATGAAACTTAGTAATGAGGTGAATTCAACAATATTTCTCAAAAAAATAATTCACACACAATAATAATAAAATGTAGTCAAAGTAGAGTACATGAATAGTGTATAAATTTCAATGTTGCAACTAATGCGATACGGATGATAGTATATATTTCTAAGCACTAGATCAGAATTGGTGTACTGGTCTAAAATAGGATGCGCTTTCGTCTTGGTTACTGAGTATACCATAAACCTAAAATCATTGTTTGTTGGGAAAAGGTACATATATACCCTTATAGTATAGGTGCGGGAACAAATATACCCTTGTTCTATTTTTCGGAACAAATATACCCATGAACTTTGGAAAAGGTGTAAAAATATCCCTCATGTTTTTCTAAAGAAGCAAATTAATCCTTATTGACTTTAAAATAATAAAATAAATTTCCAAAAACACAAAAAAAAAATTAAAAATTCGAATATAATATATAAATAAAAAATAATAAATGTTATTGTGTCCAATTCTCCCTTTTTTATATCACAATTAAATATTTTTAGTATAAAATATTATTTCAAAATTTTACTATATATTTAAGATTCTTTCGAAAATGTGCATATATGCTACAATGTAAAAACAAAAATATTTTTGCATTTTTTTCACTATAAAGTTACATATTTTATGATGCTAAATAGCCCAAAAATTACCAAATAGCGTATTTAATTTTATTTTAGTTCCGTTGTGAAATTTTGCATTCATAAATATTAACTTTAGTCTTGTTGCGGAATTCTGAACACATTGTTACATTTCTTGAAATAACATTCTTTGATTTTGTTTAACCTTAATAATATCACAATTTAAATTTATTCTCCCAAAAAATTATTCTCCTATTAATTTTACTAACTATAAAAAGGAGAATTGGACACAATTAAACATACACTACCTATTTTCAAAATTTTGGGTTATTTATCATCATACAAAATATGTAATTTTAATTTTTTGGTGTTTTTGGAAATTAATTTTATTAATTTAAAGTTCATAAGGATTGATTTGCTCCTTTATAAAACATGAGGGATATTTTTGCACCTTTTTCAAAGTTTAGGGGTATATTTGTTCCAAAAAATAGAATAAAGGTATATTTGTTCTTGCACCTATATTGTAAGGGTATATATGAACATTTTCCCTTTTTGTTAGGACTTAAATTAGGGAAGTGTCCTGATTTCTATGATCGAATGTACTACCCGTATAAGTTATTTTTGGGACTGTACCGGCCTTATGCACACTGTTCATTCCACAACGGAAATCGTGAGTCATGTACTGAAACCTGACCTACCACTAGTTGGCAATCTATAGATTCAAAATTCTAATTATGAAAAATTTTAGCTCTCCTCCACCATCAAAATCAATGTGATAAGTAATAATGCATGTCCCAATGAAAGTTCAGGCGGAGGATTATGATGTTTCATCTCTCTTTTGTTGGGTCGTAAATGATTCAAGATGCTTGTGAACTATTCACAAGTTGTTGATAAAATCGAGTTGCATTCAAGCTTAATTCCTTTTAACTCGTGAGCTCCCGAGCCGCCTCCCGAAGAGTAACATTTAGGACATTTAGGAATTTTGTATATTTGTAAATTGATAAATTATCAATTTATCAATTTTATGTACATGCACACAATTCATTTATTTATTTCAAAATTTAATCAATAGTAAAATAAGGAGTGAAAATACACTGAACGAGAGAGGAATTCATAAAAATGGGAACGATAAAGTACAAATACTAGATATTAGGAGTATAATTTGTATGTTTAAATATAATATTAACAATTTTGGAAATAGAAATTGTATTTTAGCTGGAATTCGTGCTTGAGTTCCAGCATCCTACTTGAGGTCAAACCTATAAAAACTAATTAGCAAAACACGAACCAAGCTCAAATTGAGCTCGAGCCAAAATTATTAAGCTCGTTGGAGCTCAATTCAGTGCATTCTTATCAAGCTCAAACTCAAACATAAATAGGTTCGAGCTCGACTCACTCGTTTATACCCCAATTTGTACCTCCTTGTATTTCGACCACGGTGGTGGCGTGGAGCTAGTTAGGGTAATAAAGATTGTTTTAACTTTTAAGCTCTATGATTATGTTGGTATTAGACTTGGTAGGATGATCGAGTAATCAAAACAAAGCTGCACAAATGCTTGCACTTCGTGTATACGATTGTCGACAAAAAACAATTGGTATATGTTGTTATATGGAACTGTTTGTGGGGATATAGAAGAGTTGTTTGTGCACATAGACATTAATTATTGTGCCAAAGTACACCGACAACGGTCTAAAAGATGCACATGTTAATATGAGCATGTAAAACAATCTCTGTATATGCAGTGTCTGCATGCACATATAATAGTTTTTGTGCATAGACAATATTTTTCTATGACCAAAGTATGAACTTTCCAGATAAATTTTATCACATTGACAATACTTGTGCCACTTAAAGACAAGAGTTATTTGTCTGATCAATTTAAATTGTTTGTATGATCAACTCCAGGGGTTTGTATTATCAACTTTAATTGTATGTGTGAATAAAATATGTGTGATCATTTTAGTGTTTTACATGGACTTTGAAAAAAATAGAAAGATAGTAAAAAAGATGAAGCGGAAATAAAAGGGATTTTGTGCATGTAAAAAATGAATATGAAAAGGTAAAGTCAAAGAAAAGAGGGTGATAGTGAATAGGCGAGGGGATACCGGAGAGAGAAATAGATAGGAGATGGGTAGAGAGAAGAGGAAAGAGCGAGACATGTTTACGGATAAATTTTGTGCACAAACATGTCCACGGACAAATTTTGTTCACACGGACAAATTTTGTGTATGTATTGCTATTTTTTTGTCCGAGTCAAGCATAAATGAATAGGGTGTAAGCTATGAAGCACGAATACTTCACTAGGGTATCGTATCGGCGTTCCCGGGCTGTATATGTAATTTTTAAAAGTTCTTCCAAAAACACTTTTTAAAAAAAGACTCAAAAGTTACATAATAAAATTCTTAAAAAATGTAAAGCTAAAAATAATTATTATCTGGCTTTTATGTGGTACACAACTAATTGACCTATTCCTAATTCACCCATCTTAGCTCTTATCCCTAATTCTAATTATCCTTGAAAATTAATAGCCCCAACGAAAATATGTATTAGAAATTTTAAAATATTGTTTTCTATCTTCATTATTCTAGAACTTTGAGTACTTACACTTTTAATTTCAAAACTGTAGTTGTTTAACTTATTTCTCATTTTAAATTGATGACTTATTGACTATTTATATTTCGAGATGCGCTAGTGTATATGAGATAAAATATGAATTGATTTTGAAGTATTTTGAAAATGTAAAATGCTTTAATGTCATAAATGGGTAGACGTCGGAGGATAATAATGTGTACTTTTTTCAAAAATTAAATATTTTTTAATATTTTATAAATACACCCCTATAACTTTTAATATTTATAAATACACCCTCATAACTTTTAATATTTATAAATATGACTCTGTATCCGTATCCTACTTTTTTGGGTTTTGTCGTTTCCACATACCTGTATCGGTGCTATAAGTGTAACCAGAGCGTACAAATAGAACTTTTCATTGAATTATGAGTATAAATTGATACAAGTAGAAGTTGTGATATAAAGAAGCGGGTGGTGCGCGCTTTGAATTGAGTGAGTGAAGAAGAGAGTAAAAATTGGAAGGAAATGGAAGAGCCACTGTTGGAAGGAGGCGAAGCTCATCATCATCAGGCTCTCAGGTCAAACTTCTTCTCTAAACTGCCTGAGAAGCTCCGAGGAGGCCTTCACCCTCAAACCCCCTTTCATCTCGATCTCTCCGGCTTATTCCAAGGGGAGAAAGAATACTACGAAAAACAAATTGCGACTTTGAAGTCCTTTGAAGAAGTTGATTCCCTGCACTGCTCTCATTATAACGAAGAAGAGGCGGAGAGATCAGAAGAGGGTCAGCATGAAAGGGCCATGAACATCTCCAATTCCGCAAACATCTTTTTGCTTGCTTTGAAGGTCCCTCACTTTTACTTTTATTTGGATTTTCCTTTAACTGATCCAATGAATGAATGCTATATATGTGTATAATTGCTGCACTGCACTGCACTGCACTGCACATATAGCAAAACAATTGATCAAAAGTATACCTTTTTCCTTATTATTTGCTATAGATTTCAATAGTTGGTTGTGGGTGCATTAAATTACTACATACCCATATGTATTTCAAAGTTTAAATCCAATAATTTTGCAGGTTTATGCCACCGTGCAGAGCGGATCCCTAGCAATCGCAGCGTCCACACTGGATTCTTTGCTCGATTTGATGGCAGGTGGCATCCTGTGGTTCACACACGTGTCAATGAAGAATATTAACATTTACAAGTACCCTATTGGAAAGTTGAGAGTCCAACCGGTGGGCATTATCATCTTTGCCGCAGTCATGGCTACTCTAGGTACGTACCCTTTTCTAGCTTGTTCCATTATATTACTACTAGTCTAGACTCCAAATAAATTTCAACTCATAAAACAAACACAATGTGATTTCAGCTGGAGCGAAAAATGTGGATTCAAATCATTAATCATTAAATAGAAGCTTAGCTTGCTCGCTGTGTTGGGGGATAAAATTGATGTGTGTTTGTGCAGGATTTCAAGTGTTGGTGGAAGCAGTGCAACAACTGATTAAAAACGAGGCACCAGATAAAATGAGTTCACACCAATTGTTTTGGCTGTATACTATCATGCTGGCAGCTACTGTCATAAAACTTGTGCTGTGGCTTTATTGCAGAAGCTCTACAAACAAGATTGTGCGAGCATATGCTAAGGTCCCTTTTCACATCAACATTTAATTGATAAGTATTTAACCTAAATAGGAGTAAAATAAAGGAGTATTGCAAGAATAGGACCTACTAATTTTTTATTCCTAAATAGGAGCTTCTCCCTCGCACCGGACTTTTTATTCCCATCCTACCCCTGATTTTTTAAATCTTCCGTCACGCACTCACGCACCGGCCAACCAAGGATTTTCCTCTCTCCCTTTATCCTTTCTCCTCTTTCCTTTATTGCATCTGCTTTCACATGTCAGGCTTTCTCTCTCTCCCTCCATCCTTTTTCTCTTTTTCCTGGTTACCTCTTCCTCCACGCATCTTTATCCTTGGAATCTCAGCCATATCCTTCCTCTCAAATAACTCCAAACTTCCTACAGATCTAACAGATTCCTTCATTTTCGGTCAATTCAGGTCCAGATGACGACGCTTTCTTCACAACTAGCTTCGACCACCGGAAGGAGGCGGCGATTGTGTAGGTAAGGTTTTGACCTCGTCCTCTTCTTCTTCCCCCTCTTCCTCTTCTTCTTTTTCTTTTTCTTTTTGTTCTTCCCCTTCTTTTCCTTTGCTCAGTAGGCAGAGCCTCTGTTTCTTCTTATTTGCAACGTAGCGCATATCTTCTTCTTTTTTATAGCCAAAATTTGAATTGATTTTTTTAATTTAAATTCGTTTTTGTCGGACATCATTATTTATATTTGTATTTTTATTTTTATTTTTATTTAATTTGATATTTATTGGTTTATTTTTTTATTATTTTTGAATTTGAAATTCATCTATTAGAATTTAATTTCAGAAGGATGTAATTTTTATGGAATTACCCTTATAATGTTTTTGCTTTGGATTTGGAAATGAATGTCATTTTTATGTCATTAATGTTATAAAGATGGCAATAGTAACCTTTTGGAAAAACATTATTGCCATGTTTTCTAATCTAAAAATACCATCTTATTTTTGTCAGGATGGAAATAATGTCATTAAGATGTCAATATTGTTGTTAAAGATGGCAATATTGTCGTTAAGATGGCAATATTGTTGTGAGATTACTTAGTCATATCAGATCAAAGGTTAGGGCACAGATCTGCAGTGCTCCACTCAGGGAGGTTGCGGCGGCCGGTGGTAACGCTGGATAAGGTCTTGGATGAAGTCTCAGGTGACGCCTTTGGTGGTGGTCCTGACACAGGTGGTGGCGGCGCTAACGCAGGTGACGCCGGCGACAGTGGTGGTGTCGGAAAATGTGGAGGCCAATGGTGAAATAGCCTTCGCCGGTGGCGACAAGAGCGGCGGCGGCGGCGAATCAGGCAACCGGTGGTGATTGTATAGAGGAGGCGGTGGACATCGTGCCCAAGGGTTTTGTCGATGTCTTCCTGTTGTACTACTTCATTTTATTACTTTGCTTTAAATAATTAATACTCCGTAATTAATAAAGATACCTATTTGAGATTTCATTAAGGGTACTTTAGTCAGGTTATCTTTATTTAGTCCTACCGAATCTCACGAATAGTTGAACTCCTATTTGTGCATAATTGTTATATTTTACTCCTATATGGGTAATTAACTCTTAATTGATTGATTGACCAAAACCTCAACCCAGAACAAATCAGGATGCTTTAATTTTACACTCCCAAACTGTTTTCCCGTTTTGAACTACTACCTTCATCCCAAATTGATTTGCAAATTTGACTTTTCTACGTCAAACAGTTCTATTTTGTTCACTTAGTTAGGATATCAATTTTTAATTATATTCTAATTTTTAAAAATTGAATTAATTATCCATAGGGAGGATTGACTTATATTATTGATTGACCAAAAAAAGTTGACTTTACAAAACAAATAGGGACGGAGGGAGTAGAACAGTACCCGGTTCTCTCTCTCTCTCTCTCTCTCTCTCTCTCTATATATATATATATATATATATATATATATATATAGGAACACTTCCGGTAAGGTATACCTTACCGGAGCCGCCGTGCGGCCTCCACGTTTTGAGGGCCTTCCCGGTGGGATTTTCGATGAATTTTTTTGAGTATGTTCATCATCAAGTCTAGTACATCCATACCAAATTTCAATAAAAAATTCAATAGGGAAGACAGTCAAATGATTTTTGGAAGATAATTGCGTTTTATATGTATATAAAGGGTGCAGTTATCTTCCAAAAATCATTTGACTGTCTTCCCGATTGAATGTTTTATGATTTGATTATTAATTAAGACATTTCAAAAGCTGAAAGGGTATATTTGTCAAAACACACATAACTAGTCCTACTGGAGGGTATTTAAAAGATGTAGTCCTATTTGTGCTCTTTAATCACTTTTTTGTTCTATTTAGGTAATTCACTCTAAGTTTAAAAGGATTTTACAAAAATCAAACAATCCTAATTTTTGGGAATTTCCGTAATAGGACCATTACTTTGACGTGGTAACAAATGTTGTTGGGTTGGTAGCTGCCATACTTGGTGATAGATTCTATTGGTGGATTGATCCCGCCGGAGCAATAGCCCTTGCTGTCTATACAATTACCAATTGGTCAGCCACAGTCCTGGAAAATGCAGGTATTCTTCTTCTTCGCGGTCCTTGATAAAACAGCCCTTCTATATAGTTGCGTTCGAACAATATATCATTCAGAAAGAAATTAAAATCAACATGTAGTGTTTGTTACTCTCTAAATTAAGTGTTCCAGAATGCCAGTCTTGGGCTTTATCACAACACCAACTGCTACAACTTCCCTCCACTTTTGCTGCAGTTTCACTAGTTGGACAGTCAGCTTCACCAGAGGTTCTGCAGAAGCTAACATATATGGTCTTGAGGCACGACCCCAGAATAAAACGAGTTGACACCGTTCGAGCGTACACATTTGGTGCTCTCTACTTCGTTGAGGTATGAATATATGATTTCAGCTATAACTGCGTGGTCAACTGATGATTTGGCATGGTTTTTAATAAAGCACAAATGTGTGGTCAAAAGTTTTTTGAGAGAAATGTCATTGATATATCTTATAGAAACTATAGAAAATTGAAAGAATTAAAATAAAATGGGAAAGAATTATTCTGTTTATCTACTATTGTCACAACTTGTGAATTTTGAATCTTTGAATGTGGGATGTTCGTTGTAGGTGGACATAGAGCTTCCTGAAGAGTTGCCGCTCATTGAAGCGCACGCGATAGGAGAGTCGTTGCAAATAAAAATTGAAGAGTTACCAGAAGTGGAGCGCGCATTTGTTCATCTGGATTATGAGTGTGACCACAAGCCAGAACACTCAGTTCTGAGTAAAATCCCCGACAATAATCCTTAGGATCGTGTGTGTATCATGCTATGTATGCATATGAATGATAGTCCAAGAGAACGCCCACAAGACTGACACAACACCTATCATTTATTGGAAGTTGAAAAAAATAGGAGTACTTTTAAGGGAAAACTGTTAATTTGGTCCTCGTATTTTCATGAAAAAATCAATTAGGTACTCATACTTTAAAAAAAAAATCTATCAAATCCCTGAACTATGTAAAAACGTTCAATTGAGTCCAATTGTAGGTTACTTGCCATATCAGCAGGTCATTCGATGACGTGGCACACATGTGGCAGCCAATCGGCAATATTTTGCTGATGTGGCACACATGTGGAAGTCCAGTCAGTCAATTGCTGATGATGTGCCACACATGTGGACCTCCATGTGTACGCCACGTCAGCGGGTGACCTGCTGACATGGCAAATAATCTGCAAATGTACTCAATTGAACATTTTTATAAAGTTTAGGGATTTGATTGATTTTTTTAAAAGTAAGAAGATTTAATTGACTTTTTCATGAAAGTACGACGACCAAATCGAGGGGTTTCCCTACTTGTAAAGATGATCATTTTATATTAATTCTTAGTATCGAGATGGTTATCCATATTGAACTTGGGAATTGTTCAATTGATTTATTATATTTTCATATAAGATCGTTTCGAATGAGATCAAACTTAGACAAATCATATCAAAATATACCTAATGAGACTAGTATACATGAAATCGCATTTCGATAAGAACAAAGTACACATGATGCTAGAGCAGTTCAAACCTAAATGGACAAGATCAAATTAGTCCAGATAGTAAGGTCTGTTTACTAACATAAATATTTTTCCATTTTGTATTTCTGTTTTCCGTTCTCCAATTTTCTTTTTTCATTTTTCAGTTTTTCTATCTCTAATTTTTTGTTTTCATTTTTTAGTTTTCCATTTTCAAATCTGAAAACAAGTTCATACAATTTTTTCACTCGGTTATGTGACCAACCAAAAGACTGAGTATGATCCCAATCTGAACAGAACCTAGTACAACCCAAGTACGCTAGTACGGTACTGGGTCCCACGTATAGGAAACTCAAACCGAAACCCGCCGGTCCCGGTCGATCTCAACAGTTAGTATGATGAACACATTTCCCACTTTCCTATTGGTTGACAACTCAACGACTCTTTTAAAACTCTTCACTTTAAAAATGATTTCGAAAAATCAAGACTGAATGGTCGGGTCATCGACCGGCCCAGACAAGGACCGCTGGATCATTTACAGGACTGGCTCGGGACCGCCCGGTTGTTGATCGGACCGATCACATATCGTCGGGTCATTTTCCATACAGGATGGGGACCATTGATACGTTTGTAATTTCCGTGTGTTTATTTACGTTTTTAGTTAGTTTTGGTTGTTTAATATTTCGGAAATTACACACTTTCGGTGTAATAGTTTAGTTTGTTAAATGCTTGTAATTTGTTTAGATTAGGTTTATTCTGAGCTTAAACAGGTCCAATATCAATCAAATGATCAATGATGAAGGAAGGTGCAAGAGTACAAGACAAAAAGAAGGAAAAACTCCTGATTTTGGGGTATACTCGGTCGAGTATACCTTATACTCGATCGAGTACCAATACTGATTTTCAAGGATCCGATCCGGGAACAAATGAACATGCAAGGAAAGATTTGACCACGTTTTATTGTCATACCCGATCGAGTACACCGACATACTCGATCGGGTATACATATAAAATCTACTCGAGTATTGATCGAGTATTGACCAAATTCAGGTTTCTACACATACTCGATCGAGTATATGTACATACTCGATCAAGTATTCGGCCTGCACTTCAAAAAGCCTATAAATACACCTCCTTTCCTTCACTTTGAGGACACCAATTCCTTTATACTCTTAAGCTCAGTTTAGAATAGCATTTCTTTATATTTCTTTTAGCATGTTTAGTCTCCAAATGAGGAGCTAAACTTCCATTTCTTGGTATTGCTCTTGAAGCTTGTTGATTATTAAAGTTGTGAGTTATTTTCTTAACTTCTTTTCCTTGAATATTAATTCTTCCTTTAAATACTATTTCTATATCAATGTTGGGGAGTGTTACTAAGATGACGATTAGTTAACATCTTGACATTGGTCTTAGTAATAGCTATTCCTTCCTCTATGTTAATATCGAGGAGTGTTACTAAGATGACAATTAGTTAACATCTTGATATTAACCATAGTAGGATTCATCTTCTTTAATATTCTTCCTTGAATATTAATTAATCCCTATTCATATTTCATATTAATATTTTGAACATTACTTAAAGGATCAACTAGTTTTGTTTCACATATTAATTATTACTAGAAACGATCAACGAACTGATGGTTAATCGTTGATAGTTTCACAAGTAAGTAACTTTGGTTTATTAATGCACGGTCGTGGTTAATAAACTTAAGAGGGATTAATTTTGTTGGTTAAACCGAAACCGTTGTGTTGAGGTTATCAATCTCAATTGATTTCATCAAGGAGTTAAAAGATTAAATGCTACTATCAAGTCGGTATATGGCGTTGTTCTATACTTAACTAATAGTAAGGGTTATTAATGAACGGTTGTTGTTAATAACTATCCTCGATGAATTGGATATGCTCCTCGATTGAGTATTCGAGAGGAGATAAGTTAAAGATATAACAATGATCGACTAAAATATATCAACAAGTATAAAGTAGCAATACCAAGTCCCTTTTATCTTTGAATTAAACCACATAACTCGTTCATCTTCGCGTTTAATTTTAATCAAATCACTCGATCAAAACCCCCCTTTTATTTACTAGTTACATAAAAAGAAGAGTTATTCCTTTCCCTGTGGATACGAACTCTACTACGCTATACTACGTATAAGTGCTAGTATTGAATATTATTTTGAGTGCACTCACGACAAAGTGCACGTCAAATTTGGCGCCGTTGCCGGGGAAAGGAAATTTATTTTTCTTTTTATTTCATTTAAAAAAAAAATAGTTGAAGTATAAAGATTTCTATTTCTTCTGAGTTTATTTGAGTATATGGTAAGAACCCGATCTATAAACGAAATCATCTACCAAACAAACCACCAAACGGAACAAGCCTTCGAGAGGTTTAGGAATTTATTTCCGAATACTTTTTCGGAGGAATCATCAAGTGCTAGTTCTCAATCTAGCGAGACCGAAGAGCCAATCACTATGGCTCATGAAACGAGAACACTGAGGGAGCTCACGGCTCCGAATCTAGATCAACAACCTCTATGTATCACTTTTCCAACTCTTGATACGGGGGTCACATTTGAGCTAAAATCTGGGCTCATTCATCTCCTTCCATCATTCCATGGCTTACGAGGGGAGGATCCAAACAAACACCTGTCGGAGTTCCACATTGTGTGCACAAGCATGTGCCCCAATGGTGTCTCCGAGGAGCAGATCAAACTGAGAGCCTTCCCATTCTCCTTGAAGGACACCGCAAAGGATTGGTTTTTCTATCTTCCTTCGGGAAGTATCACTACATGGCCACAAATGAAGAAGGCCTTTCTTGACAGGTACTACCCCGCTTCTATTTCATCATCACTCAAGAAGCAAATAAGCAACATCGAACAAAAAGATGATGAATCTCTATATGAATATTGGGAGAGATTCAAGAAGCTATGTGCAAGTTGCCCCTATCACGGATACACCGAACAAGACCTCATCCTCTACTTCTATGATGGTCTTGTGGATCAAGATCGCCGCATGGTGAATGCGGCGTGTGGAGGGGACATTGTCAACAAAACCCCTTCCCAAGCGAGAGATCTCATCTCGGAGTTGGCCGAGAACTCCAGACACTATAACGGGCGGTCCTCAACTCGGAGAGTTATGGCGGCAGAATCCAACAACGCGTTGGAAAGTCAAGTGAACGGCTTGACCAGTCAAGTGACCGGCTTGACTTCTTTGGTTAAGGATTTCCTTTTTAAATCCAAGACCCAAGAAGTTAAGGTCTGCGGTATCTGTACACAACAAGGGCATCCCACGGACTCATGCCCAACTCTTCAAGAGGACACCACAGAGCAAGTCAACGCTTTGGGTTTCCAAGGCCACCAACAAAGGAGGTATGACCCGTTCTCAAATTCTTACAATCCCGGATTGAGGGATCATCCAAACTTGAGGTATGGAAACCCTCAACAAGCCAACCCACCTTCTCAATCAAGTATGTCTACGGAAGACATGACTCGAACCCTTGCTACTACCATGGGCACCTTACAACAAAACGTGGTGCAATTTCAACAAGAAACAAAATCAAGCATTCAAAATTTGGAAACTCAAGTTAGCCAAATTTCGAATGCTGTAAATCGACTTGAAGCAAGAGATTCGGGTAGGCTCCCCTCCCAAACTGAGCAAAACCCAAGGCAGCAAGTCAATGCCATCATGCTGAGGAGTAGCCCGGAATTACGAGCAAAGGAAGTTGAAAAAGAAGAGGTTGACCACAAGGAGGAGGAGCCAACGAAGACAAAATTTCCTCCGTTGTCATCATATGAACCAATCCCTCCATTCCCTGAGGCATTGAAAGACACAAGGAAGCTAGAGAGTGATCGGGACATCTATGAGACCTTCGCGAATTGTGAGGTAAATATCCCACTCTTTAAACTGATCAAAAGTGTTCCCCGTTATGCAAAGTTCTTAAAAGAACTATGTATAATAAAAAGAAAAGATAAATCAAAGGGGAAACAAAAAATTGAAGTTAGTGAGCATGTCTCGGCCATCTTTCAGGAAAAACTTCCAAAAAAATGTAGCGACCCAGGCATGTTCACTATTCCTTGCACGATAGGAAACACCACATTTCCTAAGGCCTTATTAGATTTAGGGGCATCTATAAACGTCATTTCTTATTCCGTTTATAAAACCCTACAACTTGGCCCACTACATCAAACCGGTGTGGTGATTCAACTAGCAGATCGTTCTAGTACCTACCCGAAGGGTGTATTAGAAGACGTGCTAGTAGAAGTAGAGAATATGGTTTTTCCAGTCGACTTCTACGTCCTCGAAATAGGGAATGATGACCAAACAGCGCCCATCCTTTTGGGAAGACCTTTCTTAAAGACCGCAAAAACAAAAATTGACGTGTCTACTGGTTCATTAACTTTAGAGTTCAATGACCAAAAAGTAGAGTTCAATATCTTTGACTCTACGAAAAAACGAATTAAAGATCAATCTCTTTGTTCTTTAAATGTTTGTGAACCACCAACACCAAATGTTTTAATTGAGTTGGGAACAAAGAAGAAAGGTCGACCTTACTGGAAAAGGCTGAAGAAAAGAAATGAACTAAGGGATGTTCACGATCCCACTTAAAAGAGAAAATAAAATAAAAACAACGTCGTGCCGCGACATTAAATCAAGCGCTTCTTGGGAGGCAACCCAAGTTTGTATTTCAATCATTTTCATTTATTTGTGTGTTTAAGAAAAGTTTCCAGAATAAAAAAAAAAAAGAAAAGAAAAAAAAAGAAAAAAAATATATGATACCTGGGAAGTATACCCGCTCGAGTATTGATACATACTCGGGCGAGTATTGATGAAAGGAAGGACCCGAGTTCAATACTCGATCGAAAATGCCAGATTTTTTCAAAAATATAGGCATACTCGATCGGGTATATGACTGTACCCGGTCGAGTATAAGCTGAAATGAGAAGAAGAAAAAATCTGTCTCCAGTACTCGATCGAGTACAGGTTGATACTCGGTCGAGTATAACGGGAAAAACA